AACAACACTTTCCCTGCCAAGTTTAGAGATAAACAACACTTTCCCTGTCAAGTGTATAGATAAACAACACTTTCCCTGTCAAGTGTATAGATAAACAACTCTTTCCCTGCCAAGTTTGTTTTCAGATACACAATAAAAAAAAACAAAAAAACACATTTTAATGTTTCCTTATGTATCAGAAACTTGAAACTGGTAAACTTTGGGAAGTTTGAACAGGAATAACCTTTTTAAGGTGGTAAAAAATTCCATCTTCACTTGGCAGTGCTCTAGAGAGGGACACATGATAGTGAAAGATCTAAAGGATGAAACATGCAGCTAAATATTATTACCTGCCATGTCCTTATTTCTCATGAAATAGTTTCGTAGTTGCCTTTTGTTTTAAAGGATTAAACATGGAGCTAAAGATAGTCATCTTCATGCTCATTATCTCTTTGTAAACTAGTTTCATAATGGACATAATAAGAAGATGGACATTGATTGGATAATTTCAGTAGCAGACATGCTTATATTTGTACCTCTCATTAAACACAAGTTTGAAGAATGTAAGAATAAAAATTTGTTGTTAGTTTGGAAAGGTATACATGTGTCTGTGATATGTTATACCGTCCGCTCTGTAGCTTAGTTAGTCGTGTACGTCGATTACGTTCAGTAAAAACACTGATCCCTATGAACCGAGTATAAGTAGTGAAAGTATGTAGTATAAGGTTTTTGATACACGTAGTAGTAGTAGTAGTAGTTGTAGTGTAGAACAACCAAACACTTATTCATATGTGAAGAGAAATAATTTTGGTATATCACATTACTGCTTTACATCTGCTAATGAACAGAGTGCTTGATGCTGTATTTAAAAAATAGAATTGTGTCATGAAATAGACCCACACTGTGATGATGCTTTTCTTGTGAATCATCCATGAGATGTCTTTACATTAATACAGATTTTTCAACATGTACAGAGCATTTTGGACCTTTAGTAGTTGTGTTTTGTTTTTTAAAGATCTGGGTTTGATAATGCTGTCTAATGGTGTAACGAAGTTTCTAATGGTTGTCGATGTTTATTCTTAATCGTTCTCAACCAAAATCCCCCCCACCCCCACTACATCAAATATGTAAGCAGTAGTGCTTATAAACACATCTTTTAAATTTGTTTTATCAAATTTCAGGTTACTAATTTCCACACTCACCTGACATTACTGGAAGTTTAGTTGTTAATGTAAACGTTATTTAGTACTACTGTGTATGGCTGGATGAACTATGCTATTTCAGAAGTTATGATTTTTAACATCTATACTTGATTGTTATTAAAACTGTACATTTCCCCTGTGTCTAGCTGCCCAGACTAGTTTCTTTAATACAAATATGTGTTTTTGGGGTAGGGTTTATTAATCATTTTAGTTGTTTATTCACTAACTGATTGGTAAGGTGCTTCGAAATGCACTTACCTTTCCCATCATTATATTGGTGAACATCAAGGATTAGGATGTAGTTTTACTTTTAGTGAAATGCAAATAGAGAGGTACATATATAATGCTGTATATACTGGCTAGGGAAAAAAATAACTTAATCCACAAAAAATGCTATCAAAGGAAGAGGATGACCTGTTTGCTGCGAGTCCAGGAAGATTATAACTCATGTATAATGTTGTACTAGCTAATTAAGGATGAGGATATAGCTAGAATGACATATAGTATAACGAGGAAGACTATAACTCATGTATAATGTTGTACTAGCTAATTAAGGATGAGGATAATGTTATACTATATGTCATCCTAGCTAAGGAAGATTGTAACTCATGTATAATGTTGTACTAGCTGAACTAAAGATGAGGATAATGTTATACTATATGTCATTCTAGCTAAGAAGATTGTAACTCATGTATAATGTTGTACTAGCTAATTAAGGATGAGGATAATGTTATACTATATGTCATCCTAGCTAAAGAAGATTGTAACTCATGTATAATGTTGTACTAGCTAACTAAAGATGAGGATAATGTTATACTATATGTCATTCTAGCTAAGGAAGATTGTAACTCATGTATAATGTTGTACTAGCTAACTAAAGATGAGGATAATTTTATTCTATATGTCATCCTAGCTAAGGAAGACTATAATTCATGTATAATGTTGTACTAGCTGACTAAAGATGAAGATAATGTTATACTATATGTCATCCTAGCTAAGGAAGATCGTTACTCATGTATAATGTTGTACTAGCTAACTAAAGATTAGGATAATGTTATGCTATATGTCATCCTAGCTAAGGAAGATCGTAACTCATGTATAATGTTGTACTAGCTAACTAAAGATGAGGATAATGTTATGCTATATGTCATCCTAGCTAAGGAAGATTGTAACTCATGTATAATTCCGTGGTTGCTACACAGTTAAAAAGTTAACATCATTTTCACATAATGCTGATATCATGAAAGAAGATAACTCTCTTAAGTGTAAATCTGTATGTAAGACCTAGCTAAAGGAGTAGCTAATGTCACATATAAATCTGTACGTAAGACCTAGCTGAAGGAGTAGGTAATGTCACATATAAATCTGTACGTAAGACACAGCTGAAGGAGTAGGTAATGTCACATATAAATCTGTACGTAAGACCTAGCTAAAGGAGTAGGTAATGTCACATATAAATCTGTACGTAAGACCTAGATGAAGGAGTAGGTAATGTCGCATATAAATCTGTATGTAAGACCTAGCTGAAGGAGTAGGTAATGTCACATATAAATCTGTACGTAAGACACGGCTGAAGGAGTAGGTAATGTCACATATAAATCTGTATGTAAGACACAGCTGAAGGAGTAGGTAATGTCACATATAAATCTGTACGTAAGACACAGCTGAAGGAGTAGGTAATGTCACATATAAATCTGTATGTAAGACCTAGCTAAAGGAGTAGGTAATGTCACATATAAATCTGTACGTAAGACACGGCTGAAGGAGTAGGTAATGTCGCATATAAATCTGTATGTAAGATACGGCTGAAGGAGTAGGTAATGTCGCATATAAATCTGTACGTAAGACCTAGCTAAAGGAGTAGGTAATGTCGCATATAAATCTGTACGTAAGACCTAGCTAAAGGAGTAGGTAA